CAGCTCGCACGCTTCAGCTAATCTCACGATCCTTCTAAGGGAGAGGGATATCGACATCGGTCTGATACAGGAGCCTTGGACCAGGGACGGGCAAGTCGCTGGACTGAGAATCCAAGGATACACACTACTGTGCACAAACTCGGATGGTAGGTCGAGGGCTTGCATTGTAATCAAGAATCATTTTAACGCTTTTCTCTGTCCCAATCTCAGCACACCTGACCTAGCAGTGGCCAGATTCGTGGCAGCGGATGGGAGCGGAGTCACCATATCATCAGCGTACATGGCCCATGACGAGCCGGCCCCGCCTGAGCCGGTAGTCAAGCTGCTGCATTGGGCGGAAGCGACGAAGACGACCCTGGTGCTCGGGTGTGATGCGAATGCGAGGCACACGCTCTGGGGTAGTTCGGAGACTAACGAAAGAGGTGAGTCACTCTTTGATAATATTATATGTAGAAATGTAACGATATGCAATAAGGGTAATACCCCGACCTTTATCTTTCCGAGCACGGAAAATTTTCAAGGTTGGGAAGAGGTGTTAGACCTCACATTACATGTAGAACATAATAATCACAGGGTCGAGAACTGGAGGGTATCGACAGAACACTCCTTCTCAGACCATAGGTACATTTTCTTTGAAATAACGACACCAGTTAAGAAACAGGTGCCAAAAAGAAACCCCCGTAAGACGGATTGGAACAGTTTCAGCGAAATTGTCCGATCTAAGGTAAACGGCAGGAGGATCAAGACAATATCCACTGCAAAGGCACTCGACAAGGAGGTTGAGGACCTAACGAATATTCTGCACAACGCCTTCAAAGAGACTTGTAAGCTAACATTCTCGAAGAAGCAACACCCACCGTGGTGGACAAAGGAATTATGCGAGCTCAGGAAGAGCGCGAGAAAGTCCTTTAACGACAGCTATGCAACCCGGGATTGGGGAACATATAAAGAAGCACAAAGAATCTACAAGAAGGCAGTATACAAGGCCAAGAAAGAGTCGTGGCAAAACTACTGCGAGTCACTGGAAGGCATAAAGGACACGGCGAGAGTAAGCAAAATCCTCGCCAAAGGGCACATAAGCCCTACCCTGATCAACAGAGCAGATGGCTCTGCAACGACGACAATTGAGGAGTCACTAGAGCTACTAGTTGACACCCACTTCCCAGGAAGCCTAAGAGTGAGCTCGGAACCCGAGGAGGGAACGAGCTCTCAAATGGATACACCTAGAAAGACATCATTACCACTGAGCGAATTCAGTGGGCAATAGATTCTTTCGATAAGTATAAAAGCCCGGGCCCAGACGGCTTAATACCGGCAATGCTACAATCAGCAAAGGAGAGTATTTGCAAATGGCTAAAAGCCATTTACGAAGCTTGTTTAAGACTGACGCACGTCCCACTGCTGTGGAGAGAGGCTAAAGTCATTTTTATACCGAAACCGGGCAGAAGGGGGCACATCCTAGCAAAGGATTATAGACCGATAAGTCTCACCTCCTTCACCCTGAAGACACTAGAGAGACTCCTGGACGTCCACATCGAGAGTCTCTAGAAGGACATCAACTCTCGGATGCACAGCATGCGTACCGCAGAGGTAACGGAACAGGCTACATAGTCATCAGAAAAAAAACAATACACGATGGCAGCCTTCCTAGACATCGAAGGCGCGTTCAATAACGTGAACCCCGACTCTATCCTGGGCTCCCTCAACTTGCTAGGTATTGAGAGAGGCATCAGAGAGTGGATCGGAGTCATGCTAAGGAGCAGGACGATCACAGCCGAACTGGCCACTCACGCGGACTGTGAAGAGAGGCACACCTCAGGGCGGGGTACTATCGCCCCTACTCTGGCTCACAAATATGAACGCCATATTGACAGACCTCAATACGGGTGGAGTCAAAGCAGTTGCATACGCGGACGACGTAGTACTGCTAGTATCAGGACATACCCTGACGTTATTAGCGAAATAATGACGGGTGCGCTAGGTCGTTTAAACAAATGGGCAGAAACCTGCGGACTAGGTATCAACCCCACTAAAACGGAACTTATGCTCTTCACGCGAAGAACTAAGATACCACCCTTCAACATGCCCAGAATTAACGGCATGGAGCTAAAACTATCGGAGCGAGCGAAGTATCTAGGGGTTATCCTGGATAAAAAGCTCTCATGGAAAGATAACATTGCAGAAAGAGTAAGGAAAGCAAGCATTGCATTCTACTCCTGCAGGAAAATGTTTGGGAACAAATGGGGACTGCACCCAAAGATAATTCTATGGCTCTACACTGCGGTGGTACGGCCAATTCTAACCTACGGAGCCCTAGTATGGTGGCCGGCACTAACTAGGGCTTACAACAGAACAAAGCTGACACGGATGCAACGGGCAGCGAGTGCGGGGGCAGTAGGTGCAATGCGCTCATGCCCGCGGCTGCTCTCAACGCCATCCTAGATATAATGCCGATAGAGTTGTTCGTGAAGGACACTGCGGCACAGAGCGCAGTAAGACTGAAGGCGAGCAATTGCTGGAGGGACTACGGCGCCGGGCACGGCAAGATCCTTGCAAACAGCGGCATTAACACAGACGCTAAGACCGACTACATGATAGCGGAAATGAATTTCGGGAACGCATTCTCGACATCATACCCAACAAGGGATGACTGGAGTAGGGGCAGAGTAGTAGTGGAGAACGAGGTGTCCCTCTACACCGATGGCTCAAAGATGAGCTGCGGCGTAGGGGCTGGGATCTTCGCTGAAAACTGGGGAATTGAAAAGGCTTTCAATCTCTCTAATTCAGCGACGGTCTTTCAGGCTGAGGTACTAGCCATAAGGGAAGCAGTCGAACTTTCCTTAGGGCAGGACCTCAGGGGCAAAAGAGTTCGAATCTACTCGGATAGCCAAGCGGCTATAAAATCCCTAGCTGCCGTGAAAACAAACTCACGACTAGTGGCAGAATGCAAGAAGGCCCTTAACAGACTTGCCGACAAAAATAAGGTACAAGTAACATGGGTACCGGGACACAACGAGATCCCAGGAATGAGAAGGCAGACGAACTAGCCCGTGCAGGCTCGGCGGGGCTAAGTTCTGACTTCGAACTACCAATCTCCCTAAACGCGATCCAGACAAGGATCCATGACCACTTTAGACAGATAGCCAGTAAAGAATGGCAAAGGAAGAGCGATCACAGAAGGTCAAGGGAATGTTGGCCGAGGTACGACAAAAAACGAACCAGGGAACTGCTATCCAACAGCAAGCGGGATATCAGCAGGTTCACGGCACTCACCACGGGACATTGGGCGATCGGTTCGCACGCAATGAAGTTGGGACTGCCATACAACGCAATCTGTAGAAGCTGTAAGCAACCTACAGAGCAAGAGACACCGGAACATCTGCTCTGCTTCTGCCCAGCGCTAAATCACATCAGATTTCGCCACTTCGGTGCCTACCAGATGGAGTCACTGAGAAGCATAGGTAAGCTGAAAGTTTCAGCAATCCTATGTTTCCTTGCTGACTCTGGATGGTACTGATAGTGTATTACAACAAAAAAGAAACAGAGGGTGTGGATCAAAAAGGAGCTAAGCTCTAATTGGAGGCCCCAGCCTTGGGCCTCACCACTGTAACCTACCTACCATATACATATATATGCAAAATACTTCAGTCAGGTGCAGCAGTGAAGTTGTTCTGTTTTTGCAAAATTTTTGGTTGTCTATAGGAATTGGCTTTTTCCATTTATATTTGCGACCCCCCCTTGAGAGCTCTTACGGGTAGGAAGGATCGGAATGTTTTAGAGGGAATTGAGTAAAATAAAGAAGATTTGTAAGAAAAATCGAGACCAAAAATCTGCAAAAGGAGAAGCAATTTAACAGGTGAATTAACCTGCACGTCACTTAATTATAGGATAATGGTTGTAAAAATAAATATAAGATGAAGAGTCAAATTATGAATATGGAGTAGCGACTTTAATGTGGGGGAAAGGGGAGTGAACCGGGATAATGAGTGTGTAGGTGTGTGTGTGTGACTCAGTCAGGGGCAGTTGCAACCAAAAAGGTTGAACTCATGCGAGCAGCTGCATGGTAGGGAAGGGATGAGCATGTGGCCTCCAGTTCATCAAGAGAAGCCAGGTCCGGTGTGTGTGAGGAACTATAGATGAAGTTGTTTTTTTTTGTTTCCGCGTGTTTGAAATAAACCGCGCGGAGTATAGTGTTGTGTAAACGTCGAGTATCGACGAAATTTATTGTTGTGTGTGGCGGGCAGGGTTAGGGGATCCATGGCCCGAAGAGAGAGCTAGCCGGTGCCAGCCCAAATGCCACGCAGGTCCTTAGTAGGGACATAACAGTTAATAACATTAAATATTATAACTTTCTCAGTTTCCAACAGATTTTTTTCAAACTCAAGTTATATATCAATTTCAAATTATTTTAAAATTTTGCGTAAAATTTTATGAAAATCGGTCTACTATATCATATATCGTTCATAGGAACGATCTAGATATTAATAAAATTAAAAATTATAACTTTTTCAGTTTCAACAGAATTTGATCAAATTTGAGATATAGCCATTACATATTACTTTACAATTTTGTGTAAAATTTTATGAAAATAGTACTACTATATTATCTCCCATAGGAACGATCAAGCACGTAATACAATTACAAATTGAAAATGTTACGGTGTAAACAGAGTTTTATCAAATTTGAGTTATAGCCAATTTATATATTTCTTAAATTTTGTGTCAACTTTAATGAAAATCTGACGAATATATCATATAGGTGCAATACAAACGATCGTTATTCTTAGAGGAAAAAGCAAATCTGTGAATGTAAAACTTTAATATAATATGTATAAATGAATGAAATTAAAGCAGGAATTACTTCATTGTGTTTAAATAGAAATATATATAATTTATATTGCATGGATTCCTAGTCACTGAAGCTATATATGCAACGGTATATAAACTTCGACGTGCCGAAAAAAAAAACCATCTGAAGTTCCATGCAAAATATGTCAAGCACATTATACAATATAAATATTTGCCCCATCAAAAATAAATAACTTATATCAGTTCACAAATATATATTTTAAAATGGCTCCTAATAAAGATAAAAAGAAGTCGAAGAAGACTATCGATACTGAGAAGACAATAGAACCAGAACTAGTTTATGAAGATGGAGTAGATGATACAGATGTACTTGAGCTGAATTATATACGGATATTAATGATGATTTTTTCCATGAAGCTAATAAGGTATGTTTTTATACCCTAGAGGAGTACGCCAATTTTAGTCAAAAGACTGCAACGCAATGAAGGAATCTCCGACCGTATAAAGAACATATATTCTTGACCAACATCAACCGAGCCGAGTTGATCTATTCATATCCCTTCATTCGTCTGTCCGTCCGTCCACCTGTCCGTTTCTAAACAATCTAATCTCTCAGTTGTAAAGCTATCCAAATAAAACTTTGCAGTTATTCCGAATATACAAATGAAGTCACATAGCTGCCAAAGGAACGAACAAAAATTTTAAGTATATTTAAGTATAACAAATTATAAATTTTCATCAAATTTAAAATTTATCCCTTTCGCATTATATGAGAATTTCGTTTTAAATTTTAGGATACTCGGATTACTATATTATATAGCTGCCATAAGAAGGAAAATTTTTAAAACAAATAATTATAACTTATTAATTTTTCAACCTATTTTTATACCTCATTAGGGTAATTTAATTTCGGTCTGAAGATTAACAAGAAAGGAAGCTAACTTCGGCACGCCGAAGTTTATATACCCTTGCAGATAGAACTTCGATGACTAGGAATCCATACAATATAAAATATATATATTAATGTTAAAAATAATGAAGTAATACCTGCTCTCATTTCATTCACCTATACATATTATATTTTCAGTTTTACATTCACAGATTTGCATTTTTGCTCCACATCTAACGATCGTTTGTATGGCACCTATGTGATATAGTCGTCCGATTTTCATAAAATTTGACAAAAAATTTAAGACTGATTTAAAATGGCTATATCTCAAATTAATGAAAATCTGCTGAAAACTGAAAACGTTATAATTTTTAATTGTATTCATTTTTTGATCGTTCCTATGGCAGCTATGTGATATAGTAGTCCGTTTTTTTTTAAACTTTACACAAAATTTAGATTAAAATAAAATGATATTTGATGAAAATCTGGTGAAAACTGAAGAAGTTATAATCTTTAATTTATTAACTTCTTTTATTTCTCAAAAAATGGCTATGTATCAAATTTGATGAAAATCTGTTGAAAACTGAAATATTATACGTTTTAATTGAATTAATTTCTCGATCGTTCCTATAGGAGCTATATGATATAGTCATCCAATTTTCATAGAATTTTACACAAAATTGTAGAATAATATGAAATGGCTATATCTCAAATTTGATTAAATTCTGTTGAAAACTAAAAATGTTATCGCCACCGCGATTGTCAGTCTTCCGACAACAGCCACCGCCATTCTCATTCCTCTCAAATTTCTCGATCGTTCCTATAGGAGCTATATGATATAGTCGTCCGATTTTCATAAAATTTTACACAAAATTGTAGAATAATATGAAACGGCTATATCTCAAATTTCATTAAATTCTGTTGAAAACTAAAAATGTTATAATTTTTTTTTTTTAATTTTCGATCATTCCTATGGCAGCTATATGATGTAGTCGTCCGATCCGGCCCGTTCCGACATATATACGAGTGAGAGTATATAGAAGACTAACTGCAAAGTTTCATTCAGATAGCTTCAAAACTGAGAGACTAGTTTGCGTAGAAACGGACAGATGGACATGGCTAGATCGACTCTGCTGTTGGTCCTGATCAAGAATATATATACTTTATATAGTCGGAGGTGCCTCCTTCACTGCGTTGCAAACTTCTGACTGAAATTATAATACCCTGCAAGGGTATAAAAAGCAGTGAAGGAGCCACCTCCGGCCATATAAAGTATTTACATTCTTGATCAGCATCAACAGCCAAGTCGATTTAGCCATGTCCATGAGTCCATTTGTCCGTTTGTACCCAAACTAGTCTCTCAGTCTTAAAGCTATCTAAATGAAACTGTGCAGTCAGTCTTCTATATACTCTTACTCGTATACAAATCTGAACGGACCGGATCGGACGACTATATTATATAGCTGCCATGGGAACAATCGGAAAAATTTTACAACAAAAATTACATTTTCAATTTTCAACAGAATTTTATCATATTTAGATAAATTTTGTGTAAAATTTTATTAAGATCGGACTACTATATAATGCCATACGAACGATCGAGGAAATAAAACAGCTGAAAACTATAACATTTCAATTCAATTCTCAACAGATTTTCATTAAATTTGGGATATATCCCTTTTTTACTATTCGAGAATTTTGGTTTAATTTTATAAAAATCGGACGACTGTATCATATAGGTGCCATACAAACGATTGTTAGATATAGGGGAAAATGCAAAACTGTGAATGTAAAGCTGTAAATATAATATGAATATAGGTGAATGAAATAAGAGCAGGCATTACTTCTTGTTTTTCAACATAAATATATATAATTTATATTGTATTAATTCCCAGTCATCGAAGTTCTTTCTGCAAATGTATACAAACTTTCCGTTCCGAATTTATCTTCCTTTCATGTTTTACATTAGTGTATATAACTTAATAATCTAGTATATGTTTTCTAGGTAGTACAATTTTTAATGGAAGCAAAAAGACATTTTGAGGCTCCCGCATCAAGCGATATAGTGACATCATTTTTAATTTGCATAGGCGTTATGTAGATGAAGTCAATGATAATGAAGTTCTTCGTCCGCAAATAATATCTTCAGAAAACAAGCTACGCCTGGCTCTGGAACTAACTGCAACTTCAGAAGAGGCTATGCAAAAACTTAAGGAGGCCTTGGGCGATGCTTGGAAGGAATCAGATGCATCAGCCCTGAGAGAGCAGCTTGTGCAAGAAAAATTACAAGAGGTACTTATCAAATGTGATGGCCTTACTGATCGACATAGTGGCACTACTGACGATGCAGCTGAGTAAGTGACCGTTTCTTTGGTATTGATATTGGGGATACGCTCAATTGGTCCAATATTGGACTTACACACAAAAAAAAAAAAAAAAAAAATGCAAATTGTTTGTTTCTTAATTGATGCTTTCGTTTTAATGCCAATAGCCTAAGGTATTTAATCTGTCTTCCCGCCTTGAACACTTAGGCCACAAGCTCACAGTATACGTAAAAACGCAGTTTTTACACTTTCTGCTATTGTTTGATTTGATTTGGACGTTGATGCACTACGGTCAGTACATTCAAGTGGCCCGAATGACACCAGCCAAGTGCCTGTTTAGGTTAGGTGTTAGTAGGCGCGATGGAAAATATAGGTCGAATACGAGGAAATCGACTACCGGCGTGCTGCTAGATTGTTAGCTTGCATGTTTACTAAGTGTGTTAGTATTAAAGATTTTAATTTGGGAAGGGTATCTACGTTAGAGATTAGTGTGCACAAATCATTATAATTTGCACATAACACTTTAAAAGGTTCATGCAGTTCAAAGGAGGTTCTACAGTGCACTATGGGGAAAAAGTCCATTTTTTGGCATAAAGTCAAATTATTTTACAAATTATTTTTAAAAATAAAATATATTTTTTGAATTTACATACCCTAATTAGCAAAGAACCGTTATCTATGATTTTTTACTAACAACACTATAGTGTTGATAAACGAACAAAGTCAGCTGTTCGATTGATTTGTTGTGTGTCTAAATCTTTGCAAACTATCACTGTTTATTTTGTGGAGCAACAAATTGATTTATTATTTCTGATTATGGCAAATTGTAGCAAAGGTATTTATAAATGTATCTTAGATTACATGTTTTGATTATTATGACTTGTTGTCCAACTGTGAACTGTTTTATATGTGTATCTTTTTAGATTAAAACTAACAAGTTTGTTTGTGTTCCGTGGTGTATAAATGGCACAAAGTTGCAAAAAGGTAAAAACGCAAAGTTATTATCAAATGTATCCTTAATATCGCAAAACTAATTATTTTTGCACCTTTTTGCACGTTTCTTCAAAAAAATGACTTCTGTCCAGCAACTTATGAGTTTGCACACGCTGCACTTTTCGAAGTTTGGGAGAAAAACAGCCGCTCGGAAGATGCTCTAAGAAGCTACATACAAACACAATTTTACGGCGAGCAATTTGATGAAACTTTAAATCGGCAAATATCAAGCAAAATTAAATGTTTCATTGGTTATAGTAAAAACATTTGCCAAAGTGCTACCGTATAATGGACCAATTTAAGAAAAAACACTCTTTGTGGCTAGCCGGGAATATGAGTTTAAACGTTTGTGCTCAAAATATATCATCAAATAAACGAGGTCGCCCAAAAATGAATTATGAGGATGCTGGCTTAAGGCTCAAAAGAAAATTAACATCTCAACTTGCAGTAGAAAATAACAATTCAAGTTCTCTTTTACTCCACGCTGCCACCATTTCGGCAAGAAAATCTAATAAAAATAACATGCATTTTGTTCTAAAAAAAAGCGGCTTCAAGAGAATCTGTTGGTCAGTTAAAAGAGAAAATTAGCAAAACTGATTCCAGTCCCATATCTTCTGAAAAAGCCCTATCCTTTTTTATGGAAAATAGTTTAAGTAAACAGCAATATCAAAATATTAAAGAACTAAATAAACAACAGGGCTGCGATATCTACCCACCATATTCGAAAATAGTGGAGGAGAAATTAAAATGTAGGCCTGATGTTTGATAGTTTGCAGCGAAAATGAAGCTCAAGTTTCCTTACAAAACTTGTTAACCATACCGCTTCCCGAATATTAATCATGCAAGAGGAAGTCTGTGAAACGCTTACGGATTTAACTCAGTGCTTACTTATTTTCAGCTACGGTTTTGATGGTTCTACAGGTCATAGCTTATACAAACAAAAATTTAACATAACTGAATCTCCAACTTTAGATGACTCTCTTTTTGTGACCTCAATAACACCCATTAAAATGGTAGATCAAGCAGAAAGAGTTATTTGGCTGAATAAATCGCCGCAATCCACAAGATTTTGCCGTCCTCTGAAAATTTCGTATATTAAAGAATCAACATCTCTCATAATAAACGAAAAGAAAACTTAGACACTCAAATTAAAAATCTGAATGTCTGCATGCACTCTTATAAGAAAAGCGAAATATCAGAGAAATTTGATGGTCACCTAACCCTAATAGACGGCAAGGTTTAAATATATTAACAGGAACGAAATCTTGTCAGTCATGTCCAAAACCAAGTCAAATTCTTGAAATAAATGGTTTCTATTCCAAAACATTTGGTATGAAGCCAAATACGGATCAATATGGAATAAGCCCCCTTTAAGCGTGGATACGTTGTTTTAAATTAGTACTTAAATTATCATATAGAATCGAGCTAAAAAAGTGGCATGTCAAAGGTATAGACAAAGACAAACTGGCGGCACGGAAACAGCAAATTCAAAATTCGTTTTGGAAGGATATGGGACTTCATGTAGACAAGCCGAGGCAAAATGACGGTAATGACGGAAACACGGCAAGAAGAGCATTCTCTAATTCAAAACAACTGTCTTCGATTTTAGGAGTTGCCCACCATTTGATTCATCGCCTTTACATTATTTTGATTGCTATAAATTGTAATAATCCTATAAATTCTGAAAAATTCAAATTATTGTGTTTTGAAACTTTCACCACATATATGTCGAGCTATCCTTGGTATCCCATGTCTCCGACTGTAAACAAAATTTTAGTACACGGATATAAAATCATACAAGGATCAATCGTTCCAGTTGGCTCTTTGGGAGAAGGTGCATCGGAAGCAAGGCACATATTATTTAAAGCTGACAAAAAGCATCACGCAAGAAAATGGGTCCGCATTGACAATATGTCTGATGTGTTTCACAGGGCTATGGATTCGTCCGATCCTTTACTCTTTAATCTCCGCATAACCAAAGGGCAAAACAAAAGAAAGCGTCTTCCAGCAGAGGTTACCTATCTTTTTGAGGAGCCAATATTGAATGAAAAGGACACCTCCGTAAGCTCGTCCGAAGATGAATCCGATTACGATAATGAAAGTGATTGTTTGGAAATATATTTAGAGAAAGAGGAAGCTGATTAAACTTTACATTATTTATAATAAAAATATAAAAATTAAGAAAAAAAATTATAAGTGGCTTGCAGCAATTTTAGAAATTTAACTTATTAAAAGGGTAATGTGATAAATCTAATCACAAAGGTCAGTTTCTTTATATGCGGCGTGGGGGGGGGTCCGATTTAAAAAGCAACAAAAATCGAAATTACACATTAATCTTAATGGTATATATAAAAATTTAAAACTAGAGTTTTTGCCAAAAAAAATCGGGTTTTTTCCCATAGTACGATGACTCAAAAATGAGCTGCGGCGTAAGGGCTGGGATCTACGCTGAAAATTGGGGAATCGAAAAGGCTTTCAATCTCTCTAACTCAGAGACGGTCTTTCAGGCTGAGTTACTAGCCATAAGGAAAGCAGTCGAACTTTCCTTAGGGCAGGACCTCAGGGACACCAGAGTGCGGATCCACTCGGATTTCCAAGCGGCTATAAAATCCCTAGCTGCCGTGAAACGAACTCACGACTAGTGGCAGAATGCAAGAAGTCCTTTAATAGACTTGCCGACAAAAATAAGGTACAAGTAACATGGGTACCGGGACACAACGAGATCCCAGGAAATGAGAAGGCAGACGAACTAGCCCGTGCAGGCTCGGCGGGGCTAAGTTCTGACTTCGAATTACCAATCTCCCTAAACGCGATCCAGACAAGGATCCATGACCACTTTAGACATATAGCTAGTAAAGAATGGCAAAGAAAGAGCGATCACAGAAGGTCAAGGGAATGTTGGCCGAGGTACGACAAGAAACGAACCAGGGAACTGCTATCCAACAGCAAGCGGGATATTAACAGGTTCACGGCACTCACCACGGGACATTGGGCGATCGGTTCGCACGCAATGAAGTTGGGACTGCCATACAACGCAATCTGTAGGAGCTGTAAGCAACCTACAGAGCAAGAGACACCGGAACATCTGCTCTGCTTCTGCCCAGCGCTAAACCACATCAGACTTCGCCACTTTGGTGTCTACCAGGTAGAGTCACTGGGAAGTATAGGAAAGCTGAAAGTTTCGGCAATCCTAGGTTTCCTTACTGAATCGGGGTGGTACTGTTAGTGAACAACAGTAACAAACAGAGGTTTACCGACTAGTTGGTGGAAAGATTTTGGCGATAGACAAACGAAAAAGTACGTGCTCGGGTTTCAATTTCAGAATTGCGAATCATCTCTATTTCTTATATGCTCTTCTCTCGACTAGCTGACACGACGGTTGGCGAAGGCGAGGCGAATTCGCGAAGAGCGCGAGAGAGCTTTATTGCTCCCGCCTTCGGCCTAAACTAACTTACACTAGACTTCAAGTTTATGCTAATTAACTCAATTAACTAAATCCAGCCAACACTGCCATTACGAATGGCGATCGTTTGTGTGGCACCTTTATGATATCATCGTCCGATTTTCATAAAATTGGACACAAAATTTAAGGCTAATATAAAATGGCAATATCTGAAATTTGATGAAAATGTGTTGAAAACTAAAAAAGTTATATTTTTAATTGTATTGATTTCCTGATTGTTCCTATGGGAGCTATATGATATATATGATATAGTCGTCCAATTTTATAAAATTGTACAAAAAATTGTAAAGTTAAACAAAATGGCCGTATCTCAAATTTGATCGAATTCTGTTGATAACTGAAAGAGTTATAATTTTTAATTGTATTAGTTTCCTGATCGTTCCTATGGAAGCTATAGGATGTAGAGGTCCGATTTTCATAAAATTTTACACGAAATTGTAAAATAACATAAAATTGCTATATCACAAATTTCATCAAGTTTTGTTGAAAACTGAGAAAGTTTTAATAATTAGTTTTATTAATTTCTCGATCTCTCCTATGGGAGCTATATGATATAGTGTTCCAATTTTTATAA